AATCATTATAAATAAAAGAAAAAGGAAAAGAAAGAAAGGAAAACAACAACCCAACAGAATGATACAACATATGCACTTGTCATAATCACCAGGGTCTATTTTCACCCACAGGCTCTCTTTCTCTCTCTCAGACTCCATATAAGTTGAAAACTATTTTCTTGAACAGTTTTCTTCTTATTTCCCCTCCCTCCTCACTCCCTTGTCTAAATTTACAGATATAATTGTGGATGGAATTTAGTTGGGGGTGTACATCTGCATAAGTGGACCTACGGGTTGACTCCCATATTTGCAAAATCCATGGTTTCTGTTATCCGCAGCTGAAAAAATTGGGACACATACTATAGAGTCAGGTTGGAAAATACCTAGAGAGGTGCCTCATTATCTAGGAATCTCTAGGTCCTCTAATGCAACCCTATGGTATGTTTGTACTGGAAGTCCTTTATTTTGTTAATATCTGTGATTTTTCGATATCCACAGTAAGTCTAGCAACTGAGCCCCCATGGACACAGGGGTCAGTTTCTACAATGGCAAGAAACAGAATTGAGCAGCTTTGCAACACTCATATTCAGCAAGGGGCTGCTATGATGTTCCTATGCAAGGGAGCCAGTGGGGTAACCATTGCACATTGGGCACTATGATGCATATTAGGATAAAAGCTTGGGAATGCTGATGTGCATTGGTAAAGCCTGATGTACACAAGGATGCTCTTGCTGTGCACTGATATGCTTCTTCATAATTTACTAGGCAGGTCCCATAGTTCCACTTCTACATAGCTAAGCATGTGTAAAGTTATACAACGCCGACTGTGATACAGAATCATGGCAAATGATTTCATATAATGTTATATTATATAGCCCCTAAAGAAGGGCTTTGAGAGCATACACAGTTCTAAATACCAGAAACTTTAGGCACCAGATCCCATCTGATCTTGAAAGCTAAGCAGGCTCAGCCCTGGTTAGTACTTGAATGGGAGACTGCCAACAAATATGAGGAACTGTGAGCTATATTTCAGAGGAAAGAACTGGCAAAACCACCTCTGGGGATTTCTTGCCTAAGAAAACCCTAGGAAACATATGAGGTCACTATAAGTCAACTTGACCATGCAAGCCCACTTGGTGAGAGAGTCATTGGTGTGAGAGAAATTTGCATAGGGTGAAGCATAGAAAGCATAAAAATAAATGGCTGATAGAATAGAAAGAAAGGGTTGATCCAGTGTGGCATAGTGTTTTGAGCATGGGACTATAGCTCTAGAAAGCAGGGTTTGAATCCTAGTTCAGGCCATGGAAACACATTGGATGATCTTGGCCACGTCACACTTTCTCAGCCTCAGAGGATGGCAAAGGCAACCTCCCTTCTGAAGAAACTTGCCAAGAAAACCTCATGATAGGTTCACCTTAGGATCACCATAAGCAGGAAATGACTTGAAGACACACAACAAGAAGTCGACAGATGACTTGAAGGCACACACATACGTACAACTGTACCTTGGGCCTTGGGCCTTTTTTTTTTTTAACTGATAAAGAAATTCATCAATTGAGCACCTTGAGATGTTTCTCTGGTTTCTTCGGCAGGTCATCTAACAGTGTGCCAAAGAACATACCTTGCTATGCATTTGCAAATGTCGAGTGGAAGCAACTGCCATTAGATGATGAACATGAACAAATGGAAGCTTAGCATGGACAAGAGTGAGGTGCTTCTAATAAGTCAAAAAACGGATCATAAAACTGGGTTCAGTCTGTGCTGTATGGAGTTACACTTCCCTCGAAGAGTCAGATATGTATCTTGTGCATTCTGATAGATTCAACAGAGATGCTTAGAGCTCTAAGATCTTATAGAGAGACCCGTCTCTCTGTCTGAACACCTTCCCAAGCTCATTTGGTGGAAACAAGGGAAAGGGCCTTCTTGGTGGCTACTTCCATACTTTAGGAGGATGGCTCTACTTCCTCTACTTCCACTGCCAAGTTTAAAAAGTTTTATGCTGTCAGGCTTGTTAGACACTGATTGGGATGGTCTTTGAATGCTGCATAGTGCTATTTCAACATAGAAAAATTACTTCCTGTGAATCATTACGTAGAGAGATCTTGTAGCACCTTTGAGACAAAGGGGGGTTGCAGACTGCCAGAAATAGTGTGAATTCAGTCCACTTTTAGGGTTAGGGTTAGAGTTAGGGAACCATGGGAACTGTATTTTATTGTGGCACCAGAGTTGTCTGACAGAGAAGGCTCAATGTCTCAGGAAAATAACAGTTCCCATGATTCCCTAGCACTAACCCTAACCCTAAAAGTGGACTGAATTCACACTATTTCTGGCAGTCTGCAACCCCCCTAACTGAAAGAAAGAAATAAGTTGGCAGCATGAGCTTTTCATAGACTACAGTCTACTTCCACAGATGCATTTAGTGGAGTAGTCTATGAAAGCTGCTGCTGCCAACTTCTTTCCTTCTTTTAGTTAGTCTCAAAGGTGCTACAAGATCTCGCTATATACTGATTCTACAGACTAACACAGCTATATGTTTGAATATTTCCTGTGAAGAAAATGTTGTTCTCTACACATAAAATGATGCAATTGGGGATTTGTTCTGCATAAAATTTACACATGACTGACCGGTACAGAAAACATCATTTTCTGCACAAGAGTTAATAGTTCTACACTGGAATATTATTTTCCTTGAAGAAAATGCTGTTTCCTGTGCAGAATATGCCATTTTCTGCACAAACTCACCATGTACAAATTTTGTGCAGAATAAGGGGGGTTGCAGACTGCCAGAAATAGTGCAAATTGAGCCCACTTTTAGGGTTAGGGTTAGTGCTAGGGAATCATGGGAATTGGGCTTTTTTTCTGAGACATTGAGCCTTCTCTGTCAGAGAGCTCTGGTCCCACAATAAAATACAGTTCCCATGATTCCCTAACCCTAACCCTAACCCTGAAAGTGGACTCAATTTGCACTATTTCTGGCAGTCTGCAACTCCCCTAAGTTTCAAATTGCAAATAGCCTTCAAAAGCTGCATGGTTTTTGAAGATTTTTCCCATGGTTGGAAGAAAATTCCTGAAATTATTGGTAGCTGCCTTTCAGATGAAAGTTAGTGAAGAATTACATCCCTATTAAGGCAATAGGTATTGTTGCTGCCAAAAGTACAATACAGATTGGGATAAGAGTGAGGCAGGGAGGCTAATGTACATTGCAAAAAGGTGTTGAAATGCTGTCAGTATTGATGATAAAAATGTTAGTGTCATTTGAATCTCTTCTAGACTTTAAGGAAATATACCCACATAGGTAGAATCTCTCCAAAACACCACTCTCCCTACGAGTATCATTAAAAGAAAAAAAGACGATCTGAAAATGATGACTTGCGAGCAAGGGAACAAATGGTTTTCATTTAGCATTAAACATGTCACTCACTGTAAAACATTGTCAATATATTTTTTTTTATTTCAGCAGGAGGAGAAAAAAGGCTACATTGACAATAATGGCCTTTAAAGATGATGCTAATGGAGAAATCAGTATAACATTATGAGTTATATTTAGAATATTTAGAATGAATCCTTCTGAGTCTCCATTTTTTAAAGCCTGAGAAATTGCCTAATAAAATCTGGATGGAGAATGTGGCAAACTGAGAGAACAGAAGGCAAGTCAGTGAGGACAGTCCACAGATGCCAGCCAGCCCTCCCCAACATTGGCATCCTCCACATGTATTGGACTACACCTCCTATAATCCCCTAATGGGATCTTCAGGAAAGGGGGATTAACCAGTTGGGAAAGTTGGAGGTAAACTATTTTGCATCTCAGAGCTGGGAGACATGTTCACCAATACCAAACATGGACTAGATCAGTGATCCCCAAATATTGGTCCTCCAAGTGTTTTGTAGTTCAGCTCCTGAAACTCCATCCAACTTGATCAATAGTCAGGAATTCTGGGAGCTAAAGTCCAAAACATCTGGAGGACCAAGGTTTGGGAATCATTGGACTAGATTCTTAGATTTTGCCAAATAATGCAGGTAAAATTTTACTGACCCAGTAGGGAACTAAAAAGACCCAACAACAGATATGGGTTGAAAAGGGCCTCTTTATTTAACCTATTTAAACCACATTTTGACCAAGAACTGCAAAGTGGGGGAGCATCTAATGTGGGATTTTCTGAGTCAGTGGGTCATGACCTGATCTCCTCCTTACCCACCCTTGGGTGATGCACCTGAGCCCCAGAAGCACTCCAGGTTGCTGGAATTCTGCACAGCCAGCCCCACTTGAAGGACGGTTCACCCAAGGAAACCCCTCTAAAGACTTAGTGATGATGAACTTCAGGCTAACCCCAAGAGCAGGATTGCTCCTCTGATCCCATGACTTGAAGGGACAGTGCCAGATCTGTGCCCTTCAGCAAATGGTGCCTATTAGTGCTTAACAGAATCCCCCCTTTCTTCCCTCACAATCTGCCAAGCAACTGCCTATTTCTATGTTTGTTTTTGCTCTTGTTGTATGCCTTTGAATAGTTTCTGACTTAAGGAGACCCTAAGCTGGTGAACCTCTCATGGGGTTTTCTTGGCAAGTTTTTTTTAAGATGGGATTTGCCATGATCATCCTCTGATGCTGAGACAGGATGATGTGGTCAAGGTCATCCAATGGGTTTCCATGGCCCGAGCTGGGATTTGAACCCTGGTCTCCAGAGTTGAAGTCCAATGCTCAAACCACTGTGCCACGCTGGATCAACCATTTCTTTCTATTCTATCAACCATTTATTTGTATGGGTTCTATGCTTAAACCTATGCAAATTTCCCTTGTCCCACAAGATATAGTGCAAGGGAGAGGAAACTCCCCTGGAAATATAAATATAAAAATAAATATAAATATTCATTGTTGTTGTTGTCATTGTTGTTGTTGTTTCAGTGATGGTGGTGGTATACCTTCAAGTAATTTCCAAATTATGGTGACCCTAATGTGAATCCATCATGGGAATTTCTGGGACTAAGAGTGTGTGACTCACCCAAGGTCACCCAGTGACTTTCAATGACTGAACAGGGAGTTGATCCCTGGTCTTCAGGCCTGTAGTCCGACACTCACACCAATACGCCATGCTGGCTCAACCCCAAATTGACCACCCAATGGTCAATAGGGTAGGAAAATGGGCTGGTCAATACAAAAAGAAGAGGGAATAAGGAGGGGGAATAAGCTGTTTTAGAGGCCTGGCCTCCCCACCTTGATCCCACATCTTGGCAATCCACTTTTAGTGCGGTTCTTCTGGGTTAGAAAATGTGATTCCCCCATCCAAGATTGCACAAAGTGGCTTGGAATTGGGATTAGCTTGGACTTAAATGTATTTAATTTATAACAATAAATACAATGCCATTGGCGTTTCTTTTTTATCTGTTAAATGCTTGGGTCAAAGTATATATTGAAATAGATTCCAACAGACTGGTTAGGATCCTACATTGGGGTTGTGTGCCATGCATCTCCATGTACAGAAGTACACATTCATTGTGTTACACAACTGTTGTGTTGAATGACAGTGCTGTGTTATGGAAGAAAGAACCAAATGTGGAACTGAATGAGCAACCAAATGCACATGAACCCATAGAGGCAATGTACATTATTGCTGAATGTACAAGTTCATTTCTGCAGCCTTGAACCATATGCAGCTCTATGTAATACACCAACATGATTCTGGCCATAATTTCCTGCTTTTGCATATTGGCCAAAATCCTATTAATCTTCACTAGAGTAGAGCTATTGAACCAACTGTTTTTACATATGTGTTGACTCGTCATTCAATAGTTGATTGATTGAGTGTACTCTTTTTGGGTTCTAGTCATAATCAATCAAATGTCTCCAGATATTTCACTTCATGTATATAATACCAAATTCCATTATAAGTCAACTATAAAAATTGTCAAAATATAATATAAAAAGAACAGAGGGAGGGAAAATGAAGAATACCTTCATGTATCATAGAGTGTCACCTACAGGTAATTATTCAAAGAATTGTAATCCTAAATTGGAGGCAACCTTGTAGACCAGTAGGTCTCGATCTTTGCTTCTCCAAATGATTTGGACTTCAATTACCAGAATCCTTGACAATTGAGTTGATTTTCTATTGGCTTTCTTCACTGTTCAGCATTCCTACCTGTACATGGAAATACTATTCAGACTTTGATATTTCATGGTCATGGAGTTTTCAAGGCAAATAGCTTCAGGAATGGTTTACAATTGCCATCTTCTGTGCAGTACTAGCTCCTCTAAAATTATTTGAGTTGCCACTGTCATTGCATTGGAATGATTCTCTGTCAGTGTCGCCCACCAGCTATTGCTGCTGCCCAGTAGTTGTTTGCCACATTTCATATGGCTCCTTAGCAAAGGCCTGTCTGATGTAGGAGACCGTACCAGAAGCATGCAATCTCATAACCACAGATAGGTAGTGTCAAGGTGAGTTACTCTCTCAGTTAATTATAAATCAGCAAAGTAAAACTACAAGAACAATCAGATCCCCCCCCACACACACCAAAATTAAATACTTTGGAAAGGGAAAAATATCTTCTTTCCATATTTGGTTAATGCCTTGGCCAGGTAAGTCACCTTTTGAATAATGAATGCTGAATGCTCTGTGCAACGGAATGCAAAAGCTTCACTTAGGGCTGACCACTGCCAAAGGGAGTTTCTGGAAGCAATGAGCAGGGCTGCTCAAGGGTGTTTAATAAGTTGCTCTCTGTAGCCCTCAAAGGGATAAGTGGATGAGCGGCAACGAACCTCCTCCACCCCATAAGTAAAATGAAAGTGAAGTGTTTGAACAGAGTATGATGAGAGGTTTAATAGCAAAAAGGGTCATGGAAGTGGATGGAGATGAAGGATTCCATTTTTATTGTTTAACGGAGAAGGCTGTTCAGAAGAAAGGCTTTGGCTAGTCCAGGTGTAAGGAATATATTTCAGCTTGAGGACCAGACCCAGTTTCAAATAAGTTCATGGAGACCACATTCCACTGATGGGTGGGGCTAAGAGCAAAAGGGATGGAGCCAAAAATATCAGCATCATTTTAACTCCCAGCATCAAATAAGCTTTAGGCATTTCAACCATTTTGGATGTGGGAGACCATGTATAAAAATAGTTGTCATGTGGCTTCAAGTAATTTTCCACTTACGGCAACCTTACATTGAACCTATCATGGGGTTTTCTTGGAAAGATTTGTTCGGTTTGCCTTTGCTGTCCTCTGAGGCTGAGAGAGTGTGATTTGATCAAGGTCATCCAGTGAGTTTCCATGCCAGATTGGGGATTCAAACCCTGGTCTACAGAGTGCTCAAACCACTACACCATGCTGGTGCTCATAAAACTGGGAGGCCATCTTGAGGAAGGTGATGGGACCAGCTGGGAAATCCAAAGGGCCAGCTTTGACCCCAAGGCCTAAGGTTCCCTACCATGGACTAATAATAAAACAATGGATTTCAGCCTTTGGTCCTCCAGATGCTTTGGACTTCAGCACCCAGAACCCATCATCATGTTAGCAGAGGCTTCTGGGCATTGAAATATAAGACAGCTGGAGGATCAAAGGTTGTTAACTCCTGTAATAGAAGGGCAAAAAGATCAGGTTCTAATCTGCAGTTATGAATAACAATGTTCTCACATCCAGCACTTCTGCTACACAGGATTCAGTCACTTTGTGTGACACAGAGACACATGGTCACTGTTACATGGTCCAAACTATTTGCAGGATTATATAGGGGCCAGTGTGGCATAGTGGCTTGAGTGTTGAACTACAGTTCTAGAGACCAGGGTTCATTTCTCAGATCGACCATAAAACCCACTGGGTGGCCTTGGGTAAGTCACATGCTCTCAGCCTCAGGGGAAGGCAATGGCAAATCTCCTCTGAACAAATCTTGCCAAGAAAATCCAATGATAGGTTCACTTTTGCATTTCCATAAGTTGGACTTGAAGGCACACAACAACATCAACATCAACAATCAGGCCAAAGAAGCAACATTTCTGCAGACATTGGGTCACTTAAAGCCACTCTATAAAACTGCTTTCCTTGTGCAATTTTGTCCTTTCCATTTGTTATAGATGCCAAACAGTTTACAGATGGTCTTGGGCTACAATTACATTCCTAATTGTCACATCTGGAATAAACAGATGTCACATCTGTGACAAACTCATTCCTTGGTCCATAGCAATCTGGAGAGGGAAGTGGATCAGAGAGACCTGAGCTATCAGAATATTAATATATTCCTTCACTTGGTTATATTATATGCATTAAAAATTAAAATAAACCCTTTGGCTTAAGGGAGGCATATTAAGACACTTCCAGTTCTTCTCATGAGCCTCAGAAATGGAAAAATGTAAGTTAAGGTCAAGACTCTGCAGTGAGGAGACATAGTGCAAAACTACTACTCAGTGGACATAAATGCACAAAGTAAATTTTGTTGTTGTATTTGCTTTTTTAGTTCTCTCTCTCTTTCTCTTAAAACAGAAAATAGGTGATATTTCTGTTATCACAGAGCATGGATGGCAATTCTCAGCTCCAGCAGGAATGTGTTATTCTCACCCAGATCATTCATAACAAAAGCAGCAGCAAGAACAAATCCACAAGGTCTATATGGCACCATACTTGCAGTTTGTATTGTGTTCCTTGGCCACTTTTCTTCCTCTGTATCTGGGGCCAGGGAAGCAATAATTTCTTACAGTTTCAGTAAGATTTTCAGAATACTGTTCCTTAGAAAAGAAGACAAGGGCTCAGTGAAATGGTACTGAAGAGATCTGCATGCAGATTGGCTATATTACCTGGTTTCATGAGAGTCGAATGCCTTTTACAGAGACTAAAATCAGGTTGGATATGGAAATAACAAGAAGAGTCACCAACTGGTAATTAGCAAGCCTCTCTATTATGCGTCTCCTGTATCCTCCTCCTTGAAAACCCACCTTTTTCATGTCACCTCCTTGCTCCCCCTGGCATGACCATGTAGTGACTGGAGAAGAGTTGGAGATGTCTAAGTGTTTGACTATGTGACTATAGACTATAGGGGAAGTTATGATCCACCTCAAATATTCAGGGCCTCTTGGTGATAGTTGCCAGTCTAGTTCTGGCCAGTTGAAGTAAATATACTCCAGAGGAGTATGGGGTGGATTATACTGGAGGAGCTGATCCCTAGGTAACCTGTACCCAAACTATGTAGGACTTTAAAGGTAATAACCAACATTTTGTCCTTTGCGTAGGAACTAACTGGGCTGATACTTGAAGAGATGGATCCAGGAGCACTCCCAAGCCATGAACACAGTCTTTCAGGAGTACAACCCCATCCAGAACTGGATCAACACAGCTCCAACCCTAGATTACTTAATAGTAAGTACCTCTGTCTTGCCTGGATTCAGTTTCAATTTGTTTTTCTTTATCCAGACCATTACTTCCTCCAGGTATTAATTCAAAGCTGACACACTATGCATAGTTGGAAGATATGGAGAAATATATTTGGGTGCCATCAGTGTACCAATTCATACATGCCTCTGGATGATCTCCCAGCAGTTTCATGTAGATGTAAAAAAAAAACATTGGGGCTAGAATGGCATTCTGTGGCATGCCGTATAACAACTCCTCCTTTGAAGAGCAACTATCTCAAAGCACCTGAGCAGTAAGTGTGGAACCACTGCAACACTGTCTCCAAATTCCCAACCTCCCCAAATGTTCCAGAAGGATAATAATAATAATAATAATAATAATAATAATAATAATAATAATAATAATATTTATTTATACCCTGCCCCTTTGTCAAACAATCGGGGCAGATACTTTGATGGTATTGAATTCCACTGAGAGGTTTCACACTCCCACTGTCAGTGCTAAGATGGAGATCATCAGCTAGGGTTACCATAGCAGTCTCAACTCCATATAGTACCCTGGAGCTGGTTTCAAATGGGTCAAGGAAGTTTGCGTCATCCAAAACTGCCTGGAGTTGGAAGGCAAATGCTTTCTCGATTACCTTGCCCAAAAAAGGAAGATTAGAAACTGGTCTATAATCATTAATGTCTAAGGGATCCAAGGAGGGCCTTTTCAGAAGTATTAAGTATTATGATGGGTATCATCCTCTACGTTAAACCCATGCA